CTTGCTGCCCCTGTCTCTCCTTCTCATATTCCATGGCGTAGACAACAACGTATCAAACCTCAGACCCCGATCTGCTTCCTACGCCTCCAGCCCCTCTGCGTTTTCACGCGTTTCGGCGTGTAGGATCGGATTGTGCAGTTGCCTGTGCCGAACATGAACACAGTCAGCGGGCCCTCGTTGCTTGCCTTTGTTCATGCTTCCCACGCTGCCGCACGTCACGCACAACTTTTGATGAAACTTATGTTGACCGTGACTAAAGGTCACGTTCGTCAATGTGTGCAACACTGCTTTGTCATTCTGTTTTTCCGGCGGTCGGGGTTGGGGCGGTGCTTGTCTGCGTCCGACATGATGACAAGTGGGCCCTCATTGTGCGATGGCCTGCCCGTTTCGTGAGAGGCGTGTGAAGCCTGCCTGGGTGGTGCGAATTCCTCTTTCCCCGCATGAGCACACTTCACGTTGGCATCAGAGCCACCAGAAGGAATGGCGCTAGCTCCGTCCACTATCCCACCCGTATTGCCTGCAGCTGCTGATGTTGCTGTTGGTGGACGTACTATCCTCGCCTGGAGGGAGGGGTCGAGGTACAGAGCAGATGCTGCCGCAGATGCATCCTGGGTACGCGCGGAGACACAACGCCCCATGAGAGTATCGGGTGACATGATAGCGAAGTGGTTGTAAGGGTCAATTTTATGAAGGTCCGATCCCTTTGTGCGTTGTAATATTGATTGGCAGGACCTGTAAAAACGAAGCGGCTTTGATGGACCAAGATGTATCCCGAGATTTCGTGTATACCAAGAATCAACCCTGGAGATGCAACAGCCAAAGACAAGATATGGTTTCAGGCGACAGGTTCTCTCTTCTGTTCTTCTCTGTTAGGATATTTAGGATCTCACCTACAGCAACAGTTCGCTGTTACTTTCCGGGCCCTGCATTCACTAGCAGTGTGTGCACACAACCAGCGTGCACCACACGCCGCAGGTGAAAATTCCACAGTACGATTCCTTGTTTAGGACAAGTTGTGTAGGCGATACATGAAACTGACAAGTTCCCGCCCGCAAAACCTGTAAATACTGTTCGTCACTCCATGTTTTAACCAAGCTCCAAGACACGTACGGAAGTATTGCTGGTCGTGTAGAGTTCTACGCCGCCTGTAGAAAAACTGCATAGCATGACTGGAAGAGGATGTCAGCTACATTCGGACCTGTGATTCTCTACCATATACTTGTAGCGAGGGCGTGGCTTTGGGGAGGGGGGGGGGGAGGTGTACTCATAGTCGTGCATGCCGTAGTCGTTAGACCATTGACCTCGCATCCCTACGAAGCCGGGACGGAGCACGCTGGGTTCTCACCGGGCCAGGCTCTCACATCACCAAGCGCGAAGCACCGTGAGGTATTCGGCGCGTCGCGTGAAGGGTGCGCTGCATCCTGCTAAGGGTGTTTGGCATCTTGTGCTTACTTCCTTGCGTACGGATGACAGCTGCGTATGACTTCATTTATTTTCTGGTCTTTCACTTCCAGAGACAGTTATACGCACTGTGTAGCTGCTTCGAGGGTGCTTGACCAATTTAACACAACGTGGTGCGATCATCCCCTTTGCGTGGAGTGCGGGTTCTCGACCTCGCACAACATAATCTACTCTCGACCACCATTATGGTTACCGCGAAAAAAAAGAGGGGAAAAAAAGAGGTTACCTGGTTGCCGAGCTCACACGTGATCGACTCGTTTTACAACGTCATTGCCAAGCAACGAAAACCCAACCCCGATGGCAAACACCAGGGGGGGGGGGGGGCGTACTCTTATGTTTTGCATGCCTTAACGATTAAACCATTGACCACCCGTCCTGGAAAGGACGGAACATTGTTCCCACCGGACCGATCACCGATGGCCAATCGTTCCTTCCTACTTTGCCAAAGGTGGCTCAAAAATGTCTACCCTATTATAGTCTGTCTACATCCTAACGATATCCCTTGCCGCCTTTTCAAACCACTTCCTTCTCCCCAGTACAGCTACCGTCCTCTCCTCTCTATTCCATGCCTCAAACATCTCCCTGAACGTCCCTTGTATTCTTCCCAGCTCAGTCATGTACACTTCCCTCTCCTCTTCGTACCACGGACATTCCGCGACTACATGAACACGGTCTTCGCATTCGAAGCCGCAATCACATTTGAACTTGTCGTCTTCGTCGTCTACCGTCCTATGTCTTCGTCGACGTTCTCGAAGGCCTATGTCCCCGGTCCTGAATTTGACCTTGAGCTTTGTCCCTGCATCCATTCGTCCATGTAGGTAGTCCTTGAACCCTATTCCTTCTTTCCACATTCCGTACACTTCTAGACCCTCCTTATCCTTGGTTTCTTTCCTTAGATTCCGTTCTTCTCTCTCGGCACAAGCAACAGATATCTTATCCTTGAACCCCTGTAGACCCTCCGTTTCCAGCGTTTCATCTTCGTCGATGTCTGACCCCTTCCATACGTCCTCTACAACCTTGAACCATTCCGTGGGTTGTCTACCCCTCTTTTTGTTTGCCCACTTCGCCTCCCATACTATTCTCGGCAACCTCTCCTCTCCCATCCCGCACATGCCATACTGCCATGCCAGCTTCCGTGCGTCTCTTCCCGACCGTAGGGATTAGATCCCCAATTCTGCCCTTACGGCTGCATTACTGGTGCGCTTGGAGCATCCTAGGATGATTTTCGCTGCTTTCATCTGCGCCGCCTCGAGTTCTTTCACTACCTTCTTATTTCCTTCCCATACTTCTCCGGCGTACTCTAGCGGCGGTACGATTACGCTCTTCAAAACCGCCAATTTGATGCGTGTATCGAGGTGCCGGTTTGCGAGTATTGGGTGCAGCTTCCCTGCTCGTGCTTTACCCTTTTCCGCTACCTTGGACATGTATGCATTCCACGAGCAGTCGTTTGCGATCTCTACTCCGAGGTATGTGTACTGGTCCACTTCTGCAATCTCCTCGATCCCCCACTTCCATCTATGTTCTACTGGTTCCTCCCTGACCTCGTTGCACACCATGACGGCACACCAGGGGGGGGCTTGTTTTACAACGTCGTTGCTAAGCGACGAGAACCCGTCGGCAACAAAGAGGGATGGCTTTGGGAGGGAGAATATATAATTTCCTTGCACGTGACTTCTGTCGCATAAACCGTTGTATCCTTTGAGATTGCCCGGTCCATGAGATCGCCTCACAAAAACAAAAAAAAAACGGCCGTTGCACCACGAATCCTTTGAGAACGCCCCGGGACGAGACACCCGCATTACGGTTTTTTTAAATCACCCCTCTACCTTTGAGGGCGCACTGGGTCGTTATTTTTTCGCTCAAGCTTTCCCATCACCTCGGGCGCTGGGGGGTCACAGCGTAGGTTACAGCATCCCGAAACACTTGGAAGCTGGTTGCTGATGTTACTGCTGATGGTGTTGTTCTTGTAGTGCTGCCGTTTGTCCCGGACATCGTGAGGTCCACATGTGTATGGGTGTGACGGTGTAGCAAAAGTAACACATCCCCCCCCGGGGGATTTTGACCCCGGCACTATTACATTTTCGGGGGTATGCTTCCCCTATCTTTGAAAATGAAGCGTTCCCCCCCCCCTCAATTGTTCGTTCCTTCCCTGAGGCATTCTCAAAGGATATTGCCGTATATGTCTGCCGTCTGCATAGAAGTCGGGCAAACCCAGAAAGACAAGCTCAACCTCAGTATATCGGCCTGAGCCCCGTGTCGGATGTCGGGCGGTCTGTGTCTCATTTTCGATGTTTTGTAAGTGCTGTTTTTTGTCACAAACTATATCTAAATTATGTTGATCGTTGCATTTATTTTCGTCTCGGATTTGTGCGAGAACGTGGAAGCCTTCCCCTCAGAAGCCATGTAAATAAAATGCCGCAACATAACTTTTATCGTACGATTTGACCCTTCAAAGTAGTTTCAATCACTGCGGGCTAAGATCTCTTCTCTCTGTGCTGGCACGAACACACACGCACGTTTCTGTCTTTGATCCGGAGGATATAGACCAGTCTCCCCCATGCCGCCCCCTCACGGGGTCCCAGTTAATGGCATTTAGAAGTGTTTTGTGTTTTCAACCGCACTGAGACTGGCCTCTTTTCATTGATCAGCCGGTTAGCGCGGTCGATGCTACTAATAAAGACACACACACGTACGTGACTTTTACAGCGGGGTGGACACAACACACACTCCCTCGTTGGTATGCATACCTGCATGTGGTATATGTATGTTTTCTTGGAATCACCGCCTACACTACTATACGTAGTGTGCTCGGAGAGCTCGGTTTATGCCCCCTCGCAAACGTTGGACATGGGCCGGGTTCATGTGCTGACTGGAAGGAGGTACCCAGAGCACTACCGTCCGTGCCACGTGGAATTCATGTATTGCGCTGCCTAGAACACGAGGCTGGGTTCATGCGCTGAACTTGAGAGACGATGTACCCATTTGCGCTGTGCGTGCCACATGTCACTTGATGCGTTGCACAACCACTGCCTCCCCGAAGTGACTCCCATTGCTTGATTATACGCATCAAGTCTACGAAAGGATTTGTGTGGCCGTAGTTACCTGAGAGACGACTGTGAAATTCGAGTTGCGCTGAGTGACGGTCGAGCCGACGTTGTCCTTCACGAGCTCCGCCGCTAATGGCACTTTGGTGACATCGCGAACGTCTCTGGCAATATGACCTGGTTGTTCGTCTGTCATACCGTCGTGTCCGCACCCACATAAACAACACGCTTGCACTCGAATGGCTGCTGCTGGGCGTGCTGTGGTGTGTTGCCTGTGTGGTACGATGCAGGTGGATTGATGGATCGGTGATCAGTGCATCCAAAACGCGGCGGATCCAGTGCCGATTCGCTGGAGTTCACGATACAATAGTTAGCTTTTTGGTTCTGCTTTGTATTTATGCCGCTTTGCTGCTTTGCTGCCCCTGCCCTCTAGCGCTTCTCCGCGCCTGAGCGCGAGGTTCATACGCACAAACACCAGATCAGGCGGAGGACATCATGGAGACTTTCGCTGTGGACGGTTTTCCTGATGCAAAGCTCATGTTGGCGTTGTTTACGAACGTCAAGAACGCTGCAGACCTCAAGAGGAAGTATTTGAATCGCATCGCCCTTCTGGACGCAGGTAATAAAAGACACGAGGACACTTGCTGTACTGCTGCTATAGTCTAGACTTGTGCCACCTGGTTAGAAGAAGTCGGCATACAGCAACAAAAGGGGCTTACCTATGGTAATTGCCGGAAAATATCACCTTTTTTACATAAGCATAGCAGCTGCGCGAATCGCACTTCGTATGTAGACTACTGCTGTAGACGTTATGAACCGAATCATGACCTGCTGACACCGTTGCCACTCCTACAGCAGTTCGTAGTGGGCCGAGGACTCGCGCAGTACGGACAAGAGAACTGTTCCACCAGCATTTCGGTGGGGTCAAAGGGGGTTGCGTGCTGACAGTCCTGGCCAGTTTAAGAGCAATTTAAATAGAATCTTGTGGGCGGGGTGTCGTGTACCAGGCCTCACAGCTCAATGTACAGCGTGGACACCCTCAGTGCTCCTGACGTGAGCATGCTACTTGTAGCTAGGTACAGCGGTCGACTTGTCCCTCATTCTAGAGGCAAATGAAATCGATGGGTACGTATTCCGGCCGTTTAAAGGTTGGCGCAGGCCTCCTGGAGAAGACCGGCCTGTGTTTGGTAAGCCTGATGCGGGACCGCACTTTGACCAAAGTACGATATCACGCATTTCCATCAAACAGGGACAACGACAGTGGCCCGATCTCCTCAATTCCCGACGAGTAGACGCAGCAATGATCTATTGCATTCCTCTGCATTCTCTGAAATACATATGCACCCAACATTCTCCCATCATAGCTTGCTTCAGGTACCCAGCAAGGGCGAGGTCATTGTTGAGTCGTCTGGCCTGTTCCACAAGAAAATAGTGTCGGTGCCTTCACTTTCAACTTACGCAATGCCGACACCCATGGGTCCACGCACGGTCATTCTCACCCCCGCTGTTCTCTTGCTTTGCAAGGCGCAAGGTTCGGTGTTGTGTCTCAACGACCTCCCGTCCGTGTATCACACGCCATTGTCCCCCTTGTGACGACCCCTCAAGCCCAGTAACTGAAGCAATTTACCCTAAAGCTCCAAGTCATCTTCTACTAAGCCTGCCCACGCTTTGTGAAGGGCTCTACAATTCTCCCTTGAAGCCGGCGCGCGCCTTGCCGGCCTCCTTTGGTAGAACTTCCCTGCACCCTCTCTAAGGCTGTTTGCCGGGCTGTACTCAACGGCCTCACTAGAGATCCCATTACCGGTAGGCCAAGAAGGACGAACCTTGGGCACACAGGTCGTACAGCAACGTTTCGAACAACTGGTCTCGTTGAGCCATGCTCCTCTCATGTGTATTTGACTGTTGGACTTGATGTCTCTCGCGCGCACAGGGCTGGTGCTCAGCGTGTTCCAGCTGCGAGTGGCCGCGGCGATGGCAGTCGAGAAGGAGAAAGCAGGGAAAATGAAGACAAGGTGAGAGAGAGGCTACATGGTACCGGTACCTGTGTCTGATCTGCGCAGCTACCTTTCTCCACACTACAGTGGAAACACCGAGCGATAACATTGCTTTGTACCTGTCCTACGCCGTCCTTTCTGTGACTCATAACTTGCGCGGCGTTTATCGGGCAGAGGAGTGCGCTTGGTGGAACGACCACGCAGCTGGTTAAGATCGCAACCACTTGTTCTCAATTCAATGCCCGCATGCATGGCCATGGCTAGCGTCGTTCCGTCGAAAGTGTGTGGCGACGTCCGCTACGTGAGTACAACTTTTGTCTGACTTGTCGATTTGTCGAGTATTCTTAGACAGCGGTATTACGCCATCTGGGCGTACCCGCTTGAAAGCCTAGTAAAAAAAAGTGCGACATCCGATCGCTTGTCTCCGCTATCCTAGCAAAGATGTCGGGAAGCTGTTCTCCACCACGAGGATCGGTTCAGGTGTTCAGTGTTTGTTGCGCTTTGCACTGACAACAAGTCATGCTTTCGCTCTTGGAACGATCGAAAATCAGCACATATGCGGCAGGTTTTGGCAGGTACAGTATTGCCGCAAACAAGGTTCCTATATGCCCCGTGGGGTAATGCTCCTAACCAGCAACGTCTCGGTTTCGTTGTGCTCGCGCCTGCAGATCACTGCCGTCGGAGATGGTGTGGTCGCTCTCCGGCTCCAAGAACATCACGGGTACTCTACAGACGTTCTGTGTACAGGCGAGTGTTCTTCGCTTCTTGGGGAAGAAGAGTGTGTCGATGGTGGCTTGGCGGTGGTGGTGTCAAGTTACTCAATAGACAGGTGTCCTGGGGAGACTCTCGAGGGGACGCGATCGTTGAAAGCGCAGGATACACAAGCGGTACGGTTTGCGGTACCCGCTATGGGTAGAACACAATGGAAGGGCGTGGCAATCATCATGAGGTGGAAGAGCAGCATTTTGTGACGGAAGATCTCGCTTGCTCTATCCCTTTGTCCACAATAGCCCTTTCTTTGTGTCTACATTACCAAGTCGTCGACGAAAGGCGATCAACTTGCTAGATAGGCCTGTGCCAGCCAGTCACACCCCGCTAAATGGGCGGAAAATGAACACGACTCATGGCACACAGCTTATTTGTGTAGCAGGTGGAATTGGTAGTAAGAGAGACGACGCTAAGCGTTTCGATTATGAGAATGTTTGATTCCGCTCTTGTCGACTGCTTCCCCCCCGAGCGTCTTGGTTCATCACACTCCGAACACACGCCGACGGACTCGTTGTTGTAGATGGGCATGCAAGGAGCTGTGGTGGGGGGGGCAATCTCATGCGTAGTGCTGGCAAATGCAGAGAAACGACCGTGCGGCCGACCGAGCAAGCTGTAAAGACTGCTGTAGATACGGCTTGACCAAGCACATAGTGGGCATAGCTTTTCGATACGGAAACAAAAATGAGCTAACACAGATGCACGACTCATTGATGCGGGTAGCAATCACTTTGTTGCAAGAAAGGTTTGTTGAAGGAAACAGCCCATCCGATACGAATGCCCTTCTTTGGGTCTGCTCTCACCGTGGCGGCTATGGGGATCGCAGGGTCCGGCGGTGTGCAGAGGTAGAGACGGTGCTTTCGACACCCACCACAGAATAAACACCAAGGACACGATAATTGATGAATGAGTAAACCTGTGACCAAGATTCCGCTCGCGAGCAGCCTTGGTTATCTCTCGCGCGCTCTGAAATAGCCAGCTATGCGTGTGTTTTGTTTTGTTTTCTGTGCATATGAACGCGGGTTTGATCGTACACCACCCGCTTGTTTCGTGAACCCTAGCGGAGCTGGATACGGCGAAGACCCGCTCAACGGCCCGTCACCCAGGCACAGAAACATGCCGCAGACCGAAATCCAAGAAGAGAGGGTACTCGTGGTCTGGCACATCAACGCCGCTCAGTACCATTTCGAACCAAGTAGTCCACCCTCTTCGCATTCAGAACCACCGTTCTACATGAATCTCCTGAGACTACAGTACCTGTGTGTGCATTTCGTATTTCATGGACCGATGCTTTCTTTTTTCGTGGGCACACAGGAAGTGGACGATGCAGACCTCTTGGTGGCCGCTATTGGCATTGACGAGGACGATCTCCGATCAGTTCTGGCGGATATCAAAGGACAACCTTGCGGACTGGAAAGGTTGGGGGAGGGGCTTCGCCCGGTGGATGGGGGTGTCGGCGACGGGCAGCAGCAGCAGCAACAACAGCGGTGGCAGGGGGGGGACGCTAGCAAATGGCGGGAGCGATTGAAGAAGTTGTATAAGATCACAGAGGAAGAGCTGGCAGTGAATAGCTTAGAAGACTGCGTTGTTATGCGCATGGCAGTCAAAGACCATTGATCTCGTGTATGGTTGAGTCAGACTGTTGCAGCGGTGTTCGTGGTGGCAAGAGGCGAGTTTTCTCGTCGTTAGTTGGAGAAGGGGGGTTTTACGTTTTCGTAAATGGGAATGTTGGACAGATCACGGAGGCTGCGGCAAAACCCGCTTGAGTATGAAGATGGTCTCTTTGTGACACCGCTTAGGGCTTGAACGCGCCCAGCCGCCCTAGTAGCGTGCCAAGGTTCGAGAGAGCGAGTGTAATAGCTGTGGTCAGTGGCGAACCTAAGCGATTTGGCTACCACGGTACACGGGAAGCGGGGTACCTGTCTGTCCTGATGCTCGGAGAAGGCGGTGTTTCGGCGGTGCTAAAAGGAAGAATAGTTTAATTTTCACCACGCACCTCGAGATGATGCTTGCGCTAACGGACGACCCTTCGTTGACGGCAGCATTTCGCGGCACTAATAGGAGAAGCGGCCGTGTCATGTACCAGGTATCTAAGTTGTGTACCGGTGGCGCCTGGAGAAAGAAAAAAATGCGTTCCCACCCTACTCGCACACCGCCTACAAGTAGAGGAGAATCGTTACTGCAAACTCTTGGGGTGCAAATGATGTGGCGTGATGAGAAAGAAGAGCTTTCTGTTAAGAATTTATGGGCAGAGCAGACGTCACCACCCTCCTCCTTCACTTACTAAAATGCTGCATTCGGTAAAAAACAACATGTTCTTCAAACCTATACCCCGTTTATCTACGGAACATGCGCGATTTATCTGCTACTGCTGTACACGTCCATTAGTTTTGAGGAGACTAAAATAACTGCTGCTGAACAACACGTGGTGTACTCCGGAGTCAACACTATTCTTCATTTAAATTTGAAAGAAGTTTAGACTAATCCAAACCTTCAAGTACCAAAAACACGCGGCAGGGCTATTATATACCACAAGACATTTTTCGCCATAGAGACTCTCGCCAACTCCGCAATGCATTACGAAGCAATCGGGAAGAGACGTGAGCCTGTGCGTCGGAGCCAAGATTGATTTGAAAACAACGAAGTGGCACCACGGACTTTCCGTCGGTTTCATGCAGGGAAAGAGCCAGTTTACTGGCTCTCTGTGCTCGGTCTACACCCTCGCTACTCTACATACACTCCCGATTGTTTCGCCCCGCGCGCTTTCTTCCCTGGCCCGCAAGACTTTGGCGCTCTCTGCTGGTGAGTTGATATGTATGCTAGGGCTGTAGAAACCGTCATCGGTCGGTGCTGGATCTGCACCGTCCGTTGGTGCTGGCCTCGATTTTCAACATGATTGCTTCCGCAGCACGGAGAACGTATAGTTCAAGGCAGCGAGCGAGGAGTGTGGTTGTATCAACACCACCGCGCTCTACGCCCCCCCCTTGGTGCATTTTTACGCTCGAAACCACAAGTTCTCCTTTGCTTGTGGTGGTGTTTGTGCCGCTGGCGAGAGGTCGATGAGTCCGTGTGACCGCATGCAGAAAGTTTCCAGGTTTCGTGTGAAAATCTGGTGTTGAAGTGTTGAAGTTTGCCAAACATAGTCTAGGCGGCTTGCAAGCTGTCGACAAGAGCAGTCTTTTTGACGACACATTGTACAGAAGGAATGAGAAGCATTGGGTACGGCTGTGCTTGCCTAATCTTCTAGGCATAGCTGTTTTGGCACCTGCGTGAGGCTTGGCCACGCAGTGAACGACCATAAAGTGAACAGCAGAGCAAAACATGCGGAGCAAATGTCCGGCCGGAGCCAGCTGCGCAACCCACGTGGTATCTCGGGCGGATTTTTTCTTTTTCCTCGGTCTTCCAGTCCTTTGTGCCCCTCGATAGAGTAGAGGTACAGTAATCACTCAGACGCTACAATTCGAGCTACGAGTTTCTCGCGAACCTAAAATGTAAATGTGATTTGCCGAACAGTGTTGTTGTGGGTCATTGTTCCAGAGACCTATCTGGGTTTCCGTACACTTGACTTCTACTGCTGTGAGTACATGATGACTGCAGGAGGATCAGTACCTTTGCTGGGGTAGGCATATGCATACATTTCACTCCGTGACAAAAAACACATTCCTCTAGTAGTAATACCCTTGCGAGAGTTTGATGGTGAAGGGGGTACCATATGTACCGGATGCATAGATCAGATGTAAGAGCGTTCTTTTTCACAATTAACACAAAAGATAGCAATTACGGCGACACCACCAACAAGTGCAACAGCAACTCATTCGAAGAACCAAAGTCCAGAACCATTGCCAACACTGATCTTTTAAACAAATATATCTCCACGTCCCTCCCCAACACCCCCCCCCCCCCCTCCCACTTGCCCATCCACGCGGGGGGGGGGTTTATGGACCTACTGGTTGGGTTTAGACCACACAAGGGAGCCTGCTACGATGTCCTTCTACGGCAGCGGGGGAGGAGGAGGAGGGGGGGGTTACGGCCGTCACGACCACTACCGAAGCCGTAGGGGTGGGGGAGGGTACGGGGGGGGGGGCGGCGGCCGCTACCGGGGCGGCGGAAGCGGTTTCGGAGGGGGGGGGAGGGGAGGAGGAGGGTTCGGCGGCGACCGGATGGGAAGGCTGGGGGCCCAGCTCAACAAGAACAGCTGGGACCTTTCCAAGTATGTATGTAGTCTGCCGTAGG